CAGTAATGATAAACAAGCGTGTAGCCTCGTGAAAACTGAGGGCTTTGCACATATGCAGAAGGTAAGCTTTGGTTCACCAAATACTTTGCTACTAAAGTATTTGGTTTCAGCATACCTGCGAGCGAAACGGAGTCTACAAGCACGAGCATGCTGCCCTGAACTATCTTTCCAGGTGAACAAGCGCACGTGCTCGGTAGAGCGTTCAAAGCATGGAACTCGCTTTTATAGCTTTTGGTACGCTCAAACATAAAGTGATTTATGCGCAAACTGGGGTGGGGGGGGGGGCGGGGGGCGGGGGGGGGGGGGGGGGGGCAGGCTATCGCATCTAAATATGTGAACTGTAATAACTGCTCTAATGTTCTGTTTTCTTAAAATAAATGGGCCATTTTTCTTTTTTGCTTTGGCGTGTTTATTTCTTAATTATGTAATAATTCCCGGGAAGTCCACCAACTACACTCTGTTACGTCATAAATAAGAGCCACCTATCAAAAATGTAGAAGAAAAAAAAAACACGAACGTGCGCACTCATTAGAAATGCAATGTCACGGCGCATTGTAAATTAGTCGTTAATATTTTAGACACAAGGAGTTTCGTACGGCGACACTGTTACCCACAGTCGATTAGAAACTTAGCCAGTGCAGTACGACTACTAGCCTGGAGTTTGTGACGTGCATCACGTAGTAGTGATACAAGACCGCACGCCGGTACGATGCTCATCCAGATAGGGCGTTGAACCCAGGGTCTCTACAGATTCTGCAGCGTGAGCTCCGTGCTTGTAACGAAGCTCGCACTCGCGCATTTCTTATCGTGCTCCGAGCTATGGTGCGCTAACACACTTTGCCACCGATACCCCACCGCACTTGGTTTAGCCCGATCGCACAGGCACAGAAAGAAAACAAACTGCATGACCTTGGCGCTGTTTCACTTACGTTATCAGCGCGTAGCATTAAATTTGCTTGAGCTAAGGTAAAACGAAGCAAATATTCGTAGCTTAGAGTTTTACTAGCAAAAACTGAAAAAAAAAAACAAAAAAAAAACGGGTTTATTTCAATCAGCCGGAAACCTTTTGACGTGCAACCAAAATCTCAGATTGACCCCCGTCCGACTGCGGGCACCTCGGCCGGTATTCAAACCCGACAAATAGCTATTCATAGACCAGCGCGTTGGCTCAGAGCCACTGAGACGTTTGAATGTTTCGTGCCTTGTTGTAGTATCATTGTCAAGTAAGAGCCACCCAGGTGGCTGCAAAATAAAATACCGTTTTTTTTTTGTTTTTTTTTTTCACTTAACAGATGTGTTTTAACAAAAAGCCGTGAAAGCCACACTAATTCGGTTTGTGCGGGTAAGTTATACCGCCAGGTTGACATACTATACGGGGTAAATTGTCAAGGTAACTCAAATAATTTGGTAAAATGTGTTAATAATTTTTTCTTTTTTTATAATTAGTGAGAATAGACACACGGAGAATAGACATATGAAAAGACAAACTAGTACGTGCTTAAAAAAATAAGCACGAACTCAAACATAAGCCTAATTTTTTGTTGACCCGAACTACAGCTCGTCGGTGAGCTTCTCTTCGGCCCTGTTGGACAATTTTCGCGCTTTTAACCAGTGCGCTTGCATACAATCGGTGTGCTTATATTCTGCTCGGTTTGTTTGAGATCCAGCCAGAGGATGCGCTTTATCGATCGACACCTATCAGAAATATCCTTGAAGGCTTGCAATCCGTTTAATTTCCAGTCAGTGAAGCATCCTCCCTACATACTGCGTAATGTACTGAAAAACGATTGACTCTCCCTTTGTGGTTTGAGTTGTTATACATAGATGTCTGAAAGCCTTCTCTAACGAAGATTTCCGGAGGTGAAAATGAGCAGACTTCATATATCCTACGAAATAGAGTGCTTTAATGTCAAGTCCAGTATTGGCGGTAACGCGTTACAAGTAACGGCGTTACCGGTAACGCGTTACTTTGTTTGGTAACGTAGTAATGTCCTCGTTACTTTTTAAAAAAGTAACGGGTAACGCACTTAAGTTACTCGTTTCTTTTTCTCCCTAAAACTTAAAAAAAAAAGTTACACTTCAATTTTTTTTTCTGTTTCTAGGAGCCAAACCACGTGAATTGCTGACTTTTTTTCGTTTTTATTTGGGTTTTCTTCGGGAGAATATTTAGGCGAAACCGTAAAAAAGATAAGTTCATTATGTTCAGTTTGTGTATGGACATAATGTTCCTTGAATATGGCGCTTATGCCTACGTGTAACATCAAAACAGTGAAACGTGTTAATTTATAATTAAAAAAAGAAAGACGTTTAAAACACCTTGTAACGCCGAATCGGAGCGCAGCTCTTGAGGAGAGGGAGGGAAGGGTACTGGGGGGATGGTATATTCCTCCTCCCTCCTCCTCCCCTCCTCCTTCAAGCTCCTCCTGGTTTCAGCATGCGTGCGAGCGAAGCGAAACCTGCAAGCACGAGCGCGCTGCCCTGAACTATCTTTTCAAGTGAACAAGCGCACGTGCTCTGTAGAGCCGTTGAAAGCATGGAACTCGCTTTTATAGTTTTCGGTACACTCAAACAAAAAGTGAATTAGGCGCGAACTATCATCGCATTTAAAAGACAATTGTAATAACTGCTCTAATTTTTTGTTTTCTTAAACTAAACGCGCTAATATTTTTTTTCTTTTTTTGCTTTGGCGTATTTATTTTTTAATTTTATAATATTTCCCCGGAAGTCCAACAACTATGCTCTGTTTCGTCATAAGTAAGAGCCACCTATAAAAAATGTAGACGAAAAAAAAAATACACGAACGTGCGCACACATTAAAAATGCAATGTCACGGCGCATTGTAAATTAGTCGTTACCTAGTCGTTACTGTTTTAGACACAAGGAGTTTCGTACTGCGACATTGTTATTCTCTGTAGATTAGAAACTTAGCCAGTGCAGTACGAATGCTAGCCTGGAGTTTGTGACGTGCGTCACGTAGTAGTGATACACGACGGCACGCCGGTACGATGCTCATCCAGATGGGGCATTGAACCCAGGGTCCCTGCAGGCTCTGCAGCGTGAGCTCCGTGCTTTGGACGCAGCTCGCACTCGCGCATTTCGTCCAGGTGCTCCGAGCTGTCGTGCGCCAACACCCTCGGCTACCGACCCCCAATGCACAAGGTTTAGCCCGATCGCACAGGCACAGAAAGAAAACAAACTGCATGACCTTGGCACTGCTTCATCGGCTTCATCAGCGCGTAGCGTTAAATTCGCTCTGAGCTAAGGTAAAACGAAGCAAAGATTAGGATCTTGGGTTTTACAAGCCAAACCAAGAAAGGTCATATGCCACGCACCTGCAAAAAAAAAAAAAAAAAAAAAAAAGCACGGGTTTATTTTAACCAACTGGAGACCTTTTGACGTGCAACCGAAATCTCAGATTGACGTCCGTCAGATTGCTGGCACCTCGGCGGTATTTTGAGCGACAAATAGGGATTCATAGGCCAGCGCGTTGCCTCAGATCCACTGAGACGTTTTAATGTTTCGTTTCTTGTTTTAATATCATTGTCAAGTAGAAGCCGTCCTGGTGGATGTAAAACGAAATATATTTGTTTTTGTTTTTTCCTAGGCTTAACAGATGTGTTTTAATAAAAAGCCGTGAAAGTCACACTAATTCGGTTTGTGCGGGTGAGTTATACTATCACCAGCTTGACATACTATACGAGGCAAATTGTCAAGATAACTCAAATACTTAATTAAAATGTGTTAATCAACTTTTTAATGAGTGAAAATAGGCATACGGAGAATAGACATATAAAAAGCCAAACTAGTACGTGCTAAAATACTTAAGCACGGACTCAAACATAAGCATACGATACCTTTTTGTTGACCGAAACAAAAGCTCGTCGGTGAGCTCCTCTTCGGCTCCATTGGACAATTTTTGAGCTTTCAACGAGTGCGCTTGCGTACAATCGGTATGCTTTTATTCTGCTCGGTTTGTTTAAGATCCAGCCAGTGAAAGCGTTTTTTCGTTCGACACCTTTCAAAAATTTTCTTCAAGGCTTGTAATCCGTTTAGTTTCCAGTCCCTCCATACCATACTACGTAATACTCTGAAGAAGATTGGGTTTCTCTTTGTGGTTTTCGTTGTTATACATGGATGTCTGAAAGCCTTCTCTAACGGAGATTTCCGAAGGTGAAAATGTGCGAAGTTCGGATATCCTACAAATCAATGTCAACCCATGTTCTAGGTGGTATTGCGAACATCTGTGCGGTATTGCGGTCTGCAAGAGCAGGTGTGCGGCGTGCCCCAATGGCACTTCAGATGTTTTGATGAAGTTGTAAAGTTTACTACAGGCCTGAGATACGCGGGTTTATAATAGCTCCCAAAGTGAATATATCTTTGACCCTGTTCGGCAGGGTTTAACACCAGTTATCAATGTGGCGAACCAGCCTCCAGTTGGTTCCGGTCGCAAACCAGCACGTTGTGTGTTTAGGGTGCACTAATGAAGTTGACTGCAAACGAAGGCTTCGGGCATCACCCGATTCTGCAGGCGACTGTAGTCAACGTTCCTAGATTAGCTCAGTTGTGGAACCCCCTTGTGGAGCCACCGCGGACGGGAGTACTCCACCCCCCCCCCCCCCTCCCCTCACTCCCTTCAGCTCGCTTCCCGTCGTTTGAAGCGCCATCTTGATTTTCATTTCGAAACTGTGTGTCCCATAGAGTACGTTAAAACGCCATCTAGATGTTGTGCTTGGAAACATACGTATTCCATAGGATACGCTACACTTATCATAGCAGCCGTTCTCCCCAAAAACTATTATATCTGCTATGATATTATATCTAGAATTATATTTACTATGATATTATATCTACTGAGAATGGTGCTCGGCAGATTCTTTTACAGTGAATCCCGTATTGCCCACAACTAGGTGGTGTACTTTTTTATGTTACGATAACTGCCCTAATCTAAACTGTTAGGCTGAGCCTCGAGTGGTGTCTGACGAAGTCTTCTTTGAACGCAGGTACGGCGATATGGTGCCTGACACGATCACGGGCAAGATTGTGGGCGGCGTGTGCTCCCTAAGCGGGGTGCTCGTCATCGCGCTGCCTGTGCCTGTCATCGTGTCCAACTTCTCTAGGATTTACCACCAGAGCCAGAGGGCAGACAAGAGGAAAGCCCAGAAGGTGGGTCACCCTTCCTTATTAGCGACTTTTGCGATTGGCCAGACCATAGCTGCCCGTATACTGATACTGCCTTCCCACTCGCCGGTTCACTGTGAAGCAAATCCTGTCAATCAAGACGATGTAGAGGCAAATTCTGCCAATCATGGCAAGGAGAATCCTGGCCTTGACATGACAAAATAAATCATAAGAGTGCGCCACCGAAACATATCGGCGCTCGTACCCGATGTCGAAAGGCTACTTCTGTTGTGTGTTTATTCAGACAGTCTGCTGTCTCTACCGTGGATGACAAATTTAACCAATACAGTACGACTCCTAGCCTGGGCTAGCCTGGGGTCTTTAACGGGTTGGCTAAGTCCACCTACTAAATTGACCAGAAACGAATGTGCGAATGGCGGCTGAGAACTGAACGAAAAGTTAACCAATGACCACCCACCCGGGCTCATTGTACAGCAAATCAAAAGAGCTAAAAAAAAACTCTGCAAAAGAAAAAATTCGTTTTTAAATTTTAGACGATTTTTCGTTACGCAAACAATAAGAAATAGTTGGGTGCAAGAAATACTGAAAAATGATGAAATTACAGCATCAGATCTTTCGCCTGCCCTGTCGCGGTGCAATCTATGTTTCTTTCTTTTTTTTTTTTTTTTTTAACTGAATAAAAATTGAACTGTGTGTGGGCTTAGGCATTGGAATAGTCAACCCCATTAGGCGTCTGGCGTCTTCGCTGTAGATGAGACATTCAGCCAGTACACTACCACCGCTAGCCTGGAGGCTTTAACGTGCACCGCGCAGTGGCGATACACGACCGCACGCTGGTGCACGATGCTCATCCAGATCGAAACGGCCAGGAATGGGGACTGAATCCAGGATCCCTGGCTTATGCAGCCCGAGCTTTTGCTCCAGGCGTGGTCCGAGCTGAGTTACGTTAAGCCACTCGACCACAGATCCTTTTCTCGCTTTTCCACCGTAAACAAAACCTTCTGAGAAATTATTTTGTGGCCGAATAAAAGTTTAAAAAAACAATGCGCCACATAAACACCCCCGCGTACCAGCCGTGGCTTCAAATTCCTCCGCGGACCAATCAGCAGAGGCATTAGCCACGACGAGATATGTGACGTCAGCGCGACGCTTGCCTTGGTATCGGTCTATAGTTCACACAGAAAGAACAAAAACACTGAAATAAACGAAGGACAGTTTTGAAACGCGCTTTCTGCTACGTGTACTGGCGGACTACTTGCGCATCGCGGAGGAACAGCGTCTGGCTACAATGAGGGTATGCAATCTAAGAAATTCCGAAGCGTCTTTAGCTTCCCGTAAAGCAGTTCAAAGAGCCAATCGCTTCAGTGTGCGAAGCGAGCTGGGCAAACGACGAGGCTGAGAATATGTTTAGACCTAAGGAACTGGGGCATTGAGCTTGGCGAAACGTTACACTCAGAGTCACAGTGCATTGGGATATTTTTTTAAGGCGAAAACCTTACTTGTTACAACGGTTAAACCAGCTGAACTACGAAATTAGGGAGAAAGGAGTAAAGACAAGTGATCGCTCCAGAGAAACCAGCGATCACTTGTCTTTACTCCTTTCTCCCTAATTTCGTAGTTCAGCTGGTTTAAACGTTGTAATATGTACCACCAACTAGCTCAGCTTCTACCCCCTCTCACTTGTCCCATTGCGCGAAAAGGCATCGGCGTTGTGCCCGAAAAATGGTCGTAAAAATACGTCATCAAGCACGCGCCGCTCAAGGTCAAAACGGGCACGCCTGAGGAATAAAACACAAAGAAAAATAATGCAACGCAGATGCTTCGACACGGAAGCCGTCGTGAAGCCGGTGGGGTTTGCTGCGCCTGCGCAGTGGGGGAGCGCGATATCACCGCCGGCTCGCCGTGTGAAAAAGGAAGATGTGGCGCGCTGCTTGTACGAATGCGCTGCGTGTAAGAATGCTTTCGCATTCCTACACGTAAGCAATTTTATGTGTCTCTGCCGATTTTTTTCTTTTTTTTACTAAACATATTTTTAGTTTTATTGTTCGCTGAGTTGCCTCTGTAGTGGCAGCGATTGACTCTCTCGTGTGCATTGCGGTAAAGTAGATGTTACAGATTTCTTGGGGTGAGGGCAGTCCGTTTATTAAGCAGGAACATCTCACGCGTAAATGACCCATTTGTGGTAAGGTACCCTGCTCTACACTCTAAAAAAAAGAAGTCCATGCGTCTGCTTTCCCGCACTGCACTCGGAGAGCCAATCACCGCAACTTACAGAGGCAGCTCAGCGAATGACGATGCCGAAACATATGTTTAGACAAAAAAACGCAGTCTGAGTTGTGACATTAAGCAATGCAAAACGTCACGCCTGCATTGCTTAATGTCACAACTCAGACTGCGTTTTTTGGTCTAAACATATGTTTCGGCATAGTTATTCGCTGAGCTGCCTCCGTAAGTTGCGGTGATTGGCTCTCCGAGTGCAGTGCGGGAAAGTAGACGAGCGAGCTTTTTCTAGAGTGCACAACGTCGTGGACTCAAAGTGCAAGTTTCTCACACTTTATGTTTTCGGGCCGGTTATCTCGCAAGGTGTAAGGGATATGGACGACAAATTTCTAAGTCAGAATCCGGATTAACATCTTTTCCCGTCAATTGTATACGCTCGCGCTAGTTGTCATCATAGTTGTTGTTGTTGTCATCCTATTTGGGGTGGTTAAAAAATATTTAAAAAATAAAGTTAACCCTTTCCGCTGCTGCGTTATCACTGTAGACTTAAAGTCAATTTAAAATAAATAAATTAGGTAAGTGTACCAACTAAAAAAATAACTTTTTCTCTAATGGCAATTAGGCAGGCGGTAACGCGCTCACGCAAATCAGCTCACGCGTGCAAATGCATGCAGTAGATAATCGAATAGCCCAGTATGTAGCCAGCTGCCTAATTAGAAATCCAACGACGCTCTGGCAGTAAACTAACGCCACGTTGAAAATAGAATAAAAATATCAAGTGCTTAAGAACAGCTTAAATCGACTTCATTAAATTAAAAAAAAGAAAGACGATATTCCCAGAAATGAGTCCTCTCGCATTTTCAGTCGTAATTAGACCTATATTGATCGGAGTGGCGTTTGCCGTAATGCCGCTGTAAGCGGAGACCTAATAACGAACGGAGAATCGGCGAAGGAAACAAAAACAAACGAAACAAAAACGATGCCGACGGAATCAGATAGCTCTAGGCGGCAAGAAGATGAACCAAACACCAAAAAACATTATTCAGCAAGGAGAGAGCGAGAGGGAAAGAGACGGAATGCATGAGCGTAAAGCCGTGGTCACACTCCTCATACGTTATATACAAAAGACAGTCTGCATGTGTTTTTATTCCTTGTTTAACGCTTCTGCCGCGTTGGTCGTACATAATCTGTGTGCAGACGTGTTCGAAGTACACATTATGTACGAAGGAAACCCGCAGCCCCCCTCCCCCTTTTTTTCCGTGTATACGCGATGGCGAACGCGTGCAAACAAATGTCGCCGGGGGCCAAACTCTCTCGACTCTATGTGCTTCGACGCCAAAGAAAAAAGAAACAAAAAAGCAGACGGGAGCGAGAGCTCGTTTGTTTGCTCTGTGGCGGGTTTGCCTGCAGCGAAATCGGGTATATACGTGCACGATGTTGCGACGGGCAGAGGTACCAACGGCGGTGCATAAAACTGAGCTGGCAGCCAGCCGTGACTCATTTCACGCGAGATGTTGTCGACGCGGCGTCCGCATTCCGACCCCGAAGCAACTCTTCAGAGATCAGACTACTTCGGGATCAATACAGGGAGGATCACACTTTGCTCTTTCCACTTTCTTTTCATTTTATTATTTTGCTTCTTCCTCTTACTCGTGTACTCTTTACTTGTCTTCGGTGTGCATTGGTTTTTTTATTTTCTTTTTTTTTATCGTTGGATTTTTTTTTGTGCTTTTTAATATTTCTGCCTGTACATTCTTAATCAGTATGAATAAAACGTCGCAAAGTAAAGCACGCAAGGAGAAGTAGAAGACGCAAACACTTTTTCTGCGTCTTCCGCAGCTGTAGCAAGGTGTGTAGCTGTAAACTGCAGCTACACACCTTGCTTCAGTTTACTCTGTAGTCCTTTGGTTAAGCTTATTATCTTTTTTCAAATGCTCTAACAAAGTAGAGAGCTGGGCTAGTTGGTGGACGTTTAACATGGTGTAGGTGAAACAGCGCGTAACAACGATAACTAAGAGAAAGAACACAACACAGGACGAGCGCTGACTCGCAACTAAATGTTTAAGGGTGAAAACAGAAAGCAGGAAAACATAAAAGGTACAGTCAACCACGCTTGCGCTACCCAAATTGTCTCTTCAAAAAGGGCTTCAACTATCAGCGAATCGCTAGCCCCCCCCCCCCCCCCCCCCTTCTCCCCCATTTGTAGTAATAAAAAGCGTTTTTTTTTTCTGATAGCTCCAGCGATGGCATACTGACACATTACGCCCCGTACTTAACAATGTGGAATGCGTCAGTCACTTACCTTGTCACCTTATCTCGGTGCTTTCCTAAGATAGCTGTGTCATCGAAGGATGGTTTGCACTTGCAAGTCCCGCAGTGCACCGTTAGGTGGACGACGACCGTAGCTCTCAGGGATTAGTCGTGCTCCCTGAGCTCGTCGTTTAAGCATCTACCGGTTTGTCCGATCTATACCTTGCCACAGGAGAGCAGTGTCACCCCGGCTTAAGTAAGGCCGCAATACATAGTACAAAAGACGCAGCGTTCGCCACACACATGGTGGCAGAGTTATATGCGGACACACTTCAAGCATTTTCAAGGTACTTTTGTTTCAGTATGTTGTAACCAGGTGCAAGGACCAGTCAGAAGACAATTTCGTCTTCTTTTGCCCTAGCACCTTTCAGACTTTTTCCGTCAGAAACAAACAAATTCATTCATTCATTCTTGCATTCATACTTATGCTTCGAACATGTCTGCACACAGTTTTTACATAACCAATGTTCCGATACCATGGTACAAAGAAAAAAAAAACAACAGGCCTCAGACAGTGTTCGTGGACTGCCCGCGCATTTCGACGTCACCGCAGCGATATCGAGCGCAGATTGGACACGAGGGCTACGTCAGCGTTCGGCTGGGCCTCGTGTCCAATCAACACGTAGAGGGACGCCCGGCGTCGAGGTCGGGCCAAATCGCCGAGTTGTCGCCATCCGAGCGTTATGACGTCACCTAGTAATAGAGGAAGCTGTTCGCAAGCTTCGATCATTCTAGCCGGTGTTGGCTCAACGGACGTCTAACGGGGCGCGCTAAATTTGCCGAAGCGATTCGCCAACGAGGAGCTCGTCAAATCAATGGACAACTCAGGGGGCGAACGAACCCCAAATAATTAATATCAAATGACATCACCTTTAATAACAACCAAAGAAAATACGGTTTCTTTTTTTTTTCTATATACTGCGCAGCAACAGCACTCGCGCTTTGGCACTTTGCACATATGCCGGGATTTTAACAACATAACGTTTTAGTATTGCATATAGTAGCAGACGCAAGCGTTGTGTGCGTCTGCATTCGTGTTGCGTGCTGCACACTGTGCATGCGTGTCATCGATCTGTGCCAATCTAAGAACGCAGCTTGGGCTCTGCGCGCGCGCGCAGTGTTGAACACGCAACGCTAGCGCAAACCCACGGCGCTCGCGTTCGCTCGTATACGAAATACTAAAACTCGCTACTGAGTGCTATATAGCGTATTCACTGGACGCCATATTTGGGAACGCCGTTAAAAGCGCGTGCTCGGAACAAGCTCACATTAATAAGCTGTTAAGACCGACAATCTTGATGTTGTGGAATGCACGCTGCCAAATAATTGTGGAAGCGCGCCGTCATCACGCGCTCAGTAGTCGCGCACCCAGCAATGGCCGCCAGTGAATTCTCCCTATGGGGAACGTTTAAACGACCTCCGTTTTTATGCAGCCCTCGTTGATAGATGAAACGGATTTCACTGTACCACTTTTGCTGCGTGGTTTTCGTAAGGGCGGGCAACTAAATTTCAAGCTTTGGCTAACTCCGGTGACAGGCGCAAACAGACATTCCGTTCTCAAGAGGGGGGAAAAAGGGGGGGAGGGGAGGGGCGAAAACTAATTTTCTGGCCCTGCACGCGATATTTCAAAGCCTGACTCCATCCGGCGAGACTTTAGAAATGAAAGGTCCTCGTTTGAACGATCTGTCGGCCTGTAGAGTGGATAATTACGCTCGCCTCGCCATTAGGAAACGGCGCTTTTTTCAACCAGACATAGAAAGTGCGATGTATTGGGACGGAGTCGGAACAAGTGAGCTGGAGCTTTCGAAGTCTGTCGCAATGATTTCATAGTTCACATTTGATGTCCTCAAACATCCGTCTGTTCCACAACGCCGGGCGTGTTCGACTATAGATTCGCTTGTACGTTTTATTTTGCAGGGTCCTTAGAAGAAATTACAGCACTTCTTCATATTTGATGCAATGATAGTGTTAGGATAGTGTTATTAAATGAAAATAAAAGAAAAGAAACAGTGACTGGTTATTTGTCTGCCTAAGTAGGCGGCATGCCACGCGCTTTAGGCATAAAGTCCCCTTAATGAAGTTCACGCTTCGCGTTTCACGCAAGTGGCGCCAACTTTTGTTCTGGGAACGCGCAAGGCACGTGACACGAACAAGTGCTCCGCCGCCATTCGCTTCAAAGGGCACGGCTGGTCTTGATAGGCGCGATTCCAGTCCTGCCGTGCTTGAAAGGGCCGCTTATTTCAGTGAATCGCCACCATCTGACTCCAAGGGCTGAACTAAGCGGCTCTTGGCTTCTATTGGGCACATGAAAAACCAAATCAATCTCCCCCTCCCAAAAGCAAAGCAAAAATAAAACAACAGCAACAAAGCAAAAATAAAACAACAACAACATTTGTGCTGCGATGTTATGATTGTCGTCCAAACTTAAGATAATCCGTAGACAATTTTTTTATGCTCTCAAATGTACAATGCGGGGTTTGTGAGCCTACCGTGCCAATGTAGTCAAGCTATCACCGCGACTGTAGAAGGATTTTGTTTGTAGGCCAAAGATGTTTTCTTAATTAAAATGACACCAAATTAAGTAAACGATTCCTCGGAGACAACATTTCATAAATCTATCAATTCATCAATTTTCTTCAAAATAGACACAACAGAAGGCACTGCACAAACTCATCTGGATCCGTAGCCTTCTTGGATAATCTTAGATCCATTCCAAATGTAAAAAAATAATGCGGCGGTTATCTGGCGCCGTTGCATGTGCCGTACAACAATATTTCTCACTCACACATCGTTTCCATCTAAAACTTTTTAAGTGTACTTTCAAACGTTTTTTTAAGTTTTCTGAAACAGAAAAACTGTAGTTTTAAGGTTTTATAAAACCAATTCTAGCATGAATCATGACCGCGAGTTGACGCGAGCCGGACTGACAGTGGCGCAATCCTTAGGTCTTATACTGGCAGAAAGACGCCTTATATGCGCAACGCACTCTGCTGATTTTTTTCTTCTTCTTCTTTTAGTAAGGATACCTGACCCGCTTTTTTAAGCATCTATTTATTTGCTAAAATAGGTCATATAGCCTATTTTGGCAATAAATGGATGTATGAATGGACGGCTGGTAGTGTCTATACCCTCTGTACTGGGCGACAGATATGTGTCACCTAAGCTACAAGTCGTACTTTGGGTTCTAAACTATGGATACGGACCGTTTAGAGTCCACAGCAACCAGGCAACTTTCGTAAGCGTAGTCTTGTAAGCGTAAGCCCAAACGGTCAAAGCATCATCTTGAATCCGGAGTTCAAACCCGCTACTGTAGGGTTTTGATATAAACGGACGATGTATCGGTGTTAGGTATCGTTATCACTACGTCGTGGTGCACGTTAAAGACTCCAGGTCACCGCTATACAGCGTTTAACCGGCTTTGCTATGATCTCAAAGGCAGGTCGATATCTCGCTGTATAAACATTTACAACGTCCAACGTGCTGTGTGAGTGTTTTCGTTTTTTACATCTTCCAAAAATATTATTTCTTAGAGTATTTTTTATCACCTTGCTATCTTTGAGGCCATGTCGTTACCTACGAAGTGAAAGAGTGGTCCACAAGTAAATTTCCTGGATATAACGCCAACGCCGATTCATACTTTTAATATTAGAACAAAACAAGCACACAAAAAAATCCACTCTCGTGAAGAAGGAAGACCAGCAGAGCTGTACTCGATACACTGTGTGCTTCTTCCTCGTCGTAGTCTGTTTTTCGGGCTGTTTCCTACGATGAATTCCCACCCAACGCGCCGCCCAACTATCCATTCTTTTATGATAGCTGGAAAGGTTGACGCCATCTACGAGCGACGGCGCCAACCAGACTGGTTGTGTGCTTGCCGCCGTCGCTTATAGATGGTGGTAGCTGTCCAGGTAGGTTTGTGTCGACATACCGGACACGATCCTGGGGAACCTCGCCCTTAACAGCTCTGCTGTAAAAAACGGGGTGTTTTCGGTGATTATTTTGTTGTTACTCGTCAATAGAGGCCCACGCAAAACAAAAAAAAAAGAAAGAAATAAAATGTTGTCAGTTGTACGTGCCTTGTTTGTCTCCACTAACCCCTGCACCGTATTTCTTTCTCTCCCTGGTTCCGGCGAGCGCAGAAAGCCCGGATGGCGCGCATTCGGATCGCCAAGGCGACCAGCGGCGCCGCCTTCGTGAGCAAGAAGAAGGCGGTCGAGGCGAAGCTGGCCGCTCAGGAGAGTGGCCAGGACATGGACGACGGGCCGGAGGACATCTTCGAGCTGCAGCACCACCATCTGCTCAGGTGCCTTGAGAAAACAACGGTGAGTCCTCCGCTTTCCCCCGGGAAAGCACGGAGATGCATGGAGTAGTTGCGACGTTCATAAATCGTGGACGGATACAGCTGACTGAACTTTTTTAATTGGGCGGCAGCTTGCACCACCTATATTCTATTTTTTGCAAAAATCTGCACTGCTGACAAAGGCACAGACGCGAGGGCGTGACTTTGTATAGTGCCTTCGATGCGCGAGTTCTCGTGCATACGAGGCATTCTGCTGAGCTACGGCCCACGCACCCGTGCCTTTGTTTGCACTGTAGACATTTGTGAAATGATAGACAGTGATATCATTTGCGTAGAGTGACTATACTTCGTTTCAGCTTCGGTCCAGACGCAGCCGATGCTACAAGCGCGAGCATCTGGCCCAGAACAGTGCTTGCACTGCACGAGCGCGTGTGCTTGGCAGGGATGCTGAAAGCCCGGAGCTCGCGCTTGTAGCTTTGGCTGCGTCTGGACCGGAGCTGAAACGAAGTATAAAAGAGAACTGGGTTTTCCTAAGGTCTTCTCGTCCGCTCCACCAGACATCCAGGCCGACACGTTGCGCTCGCTCTTAGACTGTGTGCCTGAGTCGGGCCCGAAAATGCACATCCGATTTTCCCTCTGTGTTCAATGTGTGTGTGCGTGTGTCCTGTGCCCGGACGTCCAGGCCTCGTAGCCATCCCCCTTTACCCTTTTTTATTTTTTTCCTGTTTCGTTGTGTAATGTAGCACCGACTGCCTTGCATCAAGTTACAAGTTCGGTCCCAGCCTCGCATAATATAATGCTTTGGCTGCTGTTCCTTTAACGAAGTTCTTTAGTATCGCAGTATTGGGAAAAAGAAAAAGATCGCCTGGCCTAGGGTGCCTGCATGTCTGTCTGTCTCAGGGTGAAGACATCCATTGTTGCCCTGAATGTGCCAGCGCGTGACGCTCTCGCGCACTCGGTGCGTGACCTGGGCGGTAAAATGGCGTCTATGCATTAGCCCAAGCTACGCGCTCGAGCTGAGTGACACCAGATTCCCCGCGCTTCAGAGTGCATAAAAAAACGATTGGGCGGAAAAATGGCTGAGATGTCACCACTCAAGCAAACGCGCGCGTGTGTATGAAGGCACTCTAGCCTGGCCTCCAGTGCAATGAAGGTTTGACAGCATTACCACGTAGCCCCGTTTGATACGGAATGAACGGGAGAGAAAGGGGAGCAATAGCGCACCATTAAACTTCCTTACCCCCCCCCCCCCCTTTCTTTTTTTCTCTCCGCGCCGCGACGCCATTGATCGCTTGCGCTATGACGTCGAACTCACGCTCGATTGCTGACATGGCTCGCTACAGTGCAACCAACAGGACGTGCGCCATAGGCCCGTTGCTCACGCGCAGGGGGCGCGAGCGTGTCCACAATCTACACCAGACGCGACCATATAGTTCTAGCTGCACCATCCATGCGACATGACCATAAAAGCGAAGCTTCAACGTACGACGATGCACGAGCCAAGTCTGAATACAAGCGTCTGTCAGCACCTGTCCATGTGTGCTAACGTTTAAAATTAAATAAAAATAAAATAATTCTGCAGCTCGCGGCTTCAGCGTTTCATTATACATTCCTTTCAGCTTCATTATTTGTGTCGCTTTATTGAATAGAATCATTGTGCAAGTAGGTTTCGCTTTACGTGATAGCGAAGCCGAAGCTACAAGCAAAAGCATGTTCCCCTGAACGATGCTTGCACTGCACTTGCGCGCGTGCTTGGCTGGGACACTGAGAGCTTGGAGCTCGCTCTTGTAACCTTTACCATGCTGGCACTTATAATGGAACAGAGTATAGACAAACGTAGCGGGGGAGCCTGATGACGAATGTTCGAAATGCGACCATAAAATATTCTATTTTGCTCGCCTGGAGCGCTGTTTAAAGCGTGACAGCCACGGACCTAAAGAGATCACGAAAAAACTGCCTATCTTCCAAATTTTTCCCGACCGACAAAGAAACAACCACAAATATGGTCCTTGCAGGATTCCCGTATACAGCATCCGCTTTAAGATTGCCCATCTTATACATTCCATTAGCTCTCTTTGCGGAGCTCATTAGGTTGCTTCAATTTGCTTCAGAAAGCACTGCTACCTTGTGCTCCTGAAGAAACATAGTGTTAAGGCTGGACTCCATGGAGCCAACTTCGGCGGAATTGACGTGTCAAAGATCTACAATGACGTGCCCGCCGCGTATTCGCTAAGCACTGAACTCCATGAGACGAACAAGCTGCGAACTCCGCCGACGCGAACAGCGCGACTGTCAGCGTTGTCCAAGGGGGAAAGTGAATATCCACTGAAACAAACCACTCATAGAGCTTCGTTTAAGCACGTCATATTAGTAAAAAGCGCCAAACATATTCAACGAAATGAGCAAGTAGTCTATAATTATGTACTTTTGAGTCTTAATAAGCCTTCAAGTGTTTTGTTGGGGAAGAGATTGCCCTGATGGGCGGCGGGGAGAATGCTTGGTCTGTGACACCGTGCATAATGGTCAGGCGGAAGCCAAACCGCGTAGTACGTCCTGATTGGCCCGCGTCCTTCGCTGCGCTTCGGCCGCTTCCGGTAGCGGCTTTTACCGGGCGAGCAATGTTTAGCTCCGCTCTAAATGTGCAACAAAAAAGCAGTTTTTTGTGTGTGTGTGTGTTTTTTTTTACGCCGTTCGAGAAAGGGCGGAAGTTTTTCGGTTATTCGCCGCATATCCACTCCCTAGAGTTCGGTCCTTTTACGCTCCTTCTGCTGAGCGGCCGAGCGTATAATGTACAGATGAGCGAATTGCAACGGCCGGAGAAGTGCTTTGTTCACCAGCAATCTCAGTGACCATGATTGACCGGCTCTACAGTACAAAGTGTAGCAGACGACGGAGTCTGTGCAGCCGACTCTGTCGAGTCTGGCGTTATCTAAACCCGCGATCGCGCTGCTATTATGTCATTAAAACGACAGTCTTCAAATACTGCATGTCGCGTGCTTCTTCTTTCTTATGCGGTCCTGTCAGATTGACCATACGAAAACTTCCTTTAGGTAGGTTCCAAGCGTACACATGTTTAAAGCAGACATGTCGAATACGCTTGAGAGGCCAGTCCGCAGATAATGTTGTCTTCTTCTCTGCAGAGAAACTCTGTGTCTTTTGTATGATGTATGAAGAGTGTCACCGAGGCTTGAGAGTCACGTGATGGCAGTAATTCTACAAAAACACGAAAAAATACCAAAACGGGGGCGGGGGGGTACGGTTTGTTTTAGAGTCGCCTGCTTTCTTGTCCTCTTTGGTTTTTATTATATACACTGCCTGTCGCTTCCGGGTCAAAAGTGTTCGCATGTCTTCCAGGGACAGCATTATGTCGAGTAAAATGTCCAGTTGGATCGGCAGCGTCCGATAAGGATGTCAAGCAGCCAATGAGAAGTGAACAAGACTGTACCTAGCTATTAAAAAGGACGTGAGTAGGTGGGGGAGGGGTGATTCGAGGCACGCAACTTGGGTCGATGTGTCACGCGGCTTTGTTCTTTCTTCATCACAAGACTAAAGTCGAGAAACCGGTTGGAACTTTGGGCGTGTTTCCACGTCATGTAAGAGAAGCTGGTTAGGCCTCTATTCCGGGTTTATAATGGGGCTGTATTCTCATTTTGTCGTTTACTTTGGTACTTTTTTCTTTCCGGTTTCAAAAAGATGTAGCTTTGTTTTATTATTATTATTTGCAGCTAGTGGTAATCTAGTATTATGGATTGTGGCAGGGTGAAAAACCATCCAGATACAAAGCATGAAACTACAAAAGTGTGACCCTTAATCCCAAGTGTCGCAGTAAATGCGCTTCTGACGCACGACAGCGAATTCAGTGGCCTAGACCTCGAACACTTCAGGTAAAAGCAAGAACTGTGAAAAACATCGGATGCGAGTTCACGTAAAAAAATTGTAAACGATTTTGCATTTTCTTTTTCTTTTCTAAACGCTAGTTTGTTTTGTTTTGTCTTTTGTTTTGTTTTTATGGGTTGGCTATTAGATGTTTGGTAGTCTTGAGGAAGGAAGGTAACGTTATATTAGGAATTTTCTATTGGAAGCGTTTTGCAACCAGCACAATGAAACGAAAACAATAAGAAAAACGCCTGAACTAATATTCTATAATCACATTTATTAATTTAAGTTGTCTTTATTCGTTCCGCGAGAGCACCTTTTTTTCATTACTATTCCTATTTTTAAAAAATCTGAGACATTTTTAAAGAAAACAATGCATTAAAATACAATAAAAATATCTACGAAGAACAGTATTTTTTTTTCATTCCTAACTTCACGCAATACACAAGTTTCGACGTTTCATTTATTTTTCTCTTCGTCATTTTGCGCGTAATCAAAGAATATATATTGCACAGAAACGCAAACGTGCAGACTACTTTCGAGGTTACGGCGCGTTCATTCAACACACCCTAAACAGGAGGCCTCCGCATGGTCTCGTCTCCCTCCATGAAACGTCATCAGAGTCGGATCGCGCTAACTCGGCTATTGGGCCCGAGCCCTGCCTCCGACGCACTGATTGGACGCGAGCTTTAGCCGAACACTGACACAGCACTCGTGCCCAATCTTACGCCTCGATCGATCTGACTGTCATGGCGCGTGCGGAGGCCTTCTTCTGTCTAGATGGTGCTGGTTCATTGCGCTCGATCCGTTTATCGGCGATAGCAACTTAGCAAACGCACATCAAGATGCCAGACGCCGCGACTCTCCGCTTTTAGCGTTCAGTGGTCGGATTCATCGACTCATAGCGTTGACTGTACTCAGATCTATGCCCAAAACTAAGTAGAATCAGTATATTGTGGAAATTCGAGGCTTTTGTAATTAAAGCAAAAGGCAGAGCAAAACAAACCAAACAAGAAATTAGAGGAGAGGAATTTGACGTGCTGGCATAAATAACCTAAACGCGCGCGTCCCGATTTTGCCTCGTTCAATATATTTACTCGAGATGCCGCGAGGCTCTTGAGGTTCCAGCTCAAAATATTTCAAAAT